ATTAAGAGCTTCAAAATTGGTTGTCCATGGTTGTTGGAGTATTGATGACAATGGCAATCTTGTAATTACTTGAAGATGATGAGGGTGAGAGAGTAAATATGTTATTTTCGAAACCAAAAAAAAAAAAAAATTTGATGGCATTTTCGTGAATTATATGAACTTGTGGGGTGAATTGGGCAAAATAAAGTTCCAAAAAAAAAGGGAGATTAGTTTTGTGGTTGACTTCAAGTTTCAGGTTAATTCTGCAAAAAGCCCTTAATTTTTTTGCCTCCGCAACCGTGCAGTCTGTCTTTATTCGGGACTGATTCGCTTATTGTAGATCATTAATGTATGTTGTAAACAAAATAATCGTGTTTGTGTTTTCCTCATACGATGTTTGCATTTTCAATAACAAAGAAAGATCATTCTTTCCAAATGCAGCAATGAAAACTAGTGTGAAAAATTAGTCATCAACCTATATATGGAAAGGAATACATAAAACAGCAGTTCATAAAGAGTCAATGAGAAAAGATTTCAAGTGCTTGAGGAACTCTTTAGACTTCTCCAAATTCACAGCATGCCCTGCCTTCTTGATCACCACTATATCTGCATTGTCTCCTATATGTCTGTTCTTTCACCATAATTTTTGACCATCATTACAAATTTTTTTTGAAACACTTCCACATTACAAATATAAGTTGTAGTTTCACATTTAAAAGAAAAGGTAATCTCTGAACTTACCTTTTCAATCTGTAACCAAGTTCAAGTGGAAATATTTGATCTTCTTCTCCCCATATAATCAAAGATTTCTAATTTAACACAAAAAAACAATCAAATAAATTTAAGCAACTTCAAAATCTACATAGCAAAAAAAAACAAAGCTAGTAGTGTTCCACCTGTTTGATCCTAGGAAGATCTGAAAGTCTCCGATCTTTGAGTATTGATTTGATCAAATCTCTCTTCTCCTCTACATATTCCATACACATTACCTTCACATCCAAAAACAAAAATCAACATAACAAAAAATAAAACCACAAAATGCAAACAAAACAAGAAAACAAAACTTACATCTATAAAGTCCCAAAGAAAAAACGAGGGAACACCTTTGATTGGCTTCACAAATGAGAATCTAATAAGTTCCTTAAGTCTCTCAGGAGTCTGAGGAATCAGAATCCTAGTGGCTTCTTCAAGATTAGGAACCTTAAACAATCCATCCTCCATATCTTTCTCCTCAAGGCAAACCCCTGCGCAGCATAGCACAATCTTCTCCACTTTCTCCGGAAACTGCGCCGCAAAACTGTAACCTACAAATCCACCATAGCTGATCCCGACAACGCTCATCTTCTTGACTCCGTGCGCTTCCATTAGCCTCATCAGACATTGAGCCTGGAAAGATTCAGACCGGTTTGGTTCCGATGTGGAAGATAAACCGAAGAAGAGGAGGTCAGGGACGTAGACGTTGAACCGGCCTGTGAAAGCTCGGAGATGTTCGCCGTATTGCCACATTGCGTTTGCTCCGAAGCCGTGGAGGAGGAGGAGATTAGGTTTAGATCGGTTTGGATATTTAGGGATCCAACAATGCATAGACGTCTTCGTCGTCGATGCGAGAGGATTGCCGTTGGAGAGATCGGTGATGACGGAACGGAGACCGGCGTGTGAGAATGATTGTTTGAATAACCAATCACGCGATGCCGTGAAGCTGAAGCATCGTAACAGTTTCAGATGATCAAACATTTTTTTTCAGAAAAATAATAATCCCAATGAAACAGAGGAGAAGAAAAGCGTGACGAAACTGACGATGTAACGGAGGAGAGACAAAACTGGTTTTCAGTTATTTGTCGGAAATGCAAAATAATCGTGTCTGCCTGTCCGTACTTTTATAATTTACGAAATTACAGCAAAGGACATGTGGGATGTTATATTTGTATAAAACACCCTATCGATTTAAGTAGTTTAGAGATAATAGATTCAATTTCAGGTAGATTCAATTCCAGTCTGTACCTGACCTGAATTAAATAATCAAAACCTTTCCTTTTAGGGTTTTAGAGAAGTAAAAGGTAGCTTGGTTAGCAAGAAAAATATAGGGTTAGTTGTTTCTGTTATTGACCGTCTAGATGCAACCAATCTTTGACATTCGGAACCTAGAAGGGTTAATTTATTGATCAAGAACTAGTTCCTCAGATGTATATTGTGAAAATTGGTGATAATTTGTTTATTACTCATGTCCAAGGTAAAGAAACTGAAATTAACAGCTATCAAAATTAACATGAAGGCTAGAAGATAGTACAAGTTTTCAAGAACTCACAAATTTTATGACTCTAAGTCCTCAGAAAATAAAATTGAAGAGTTTAAGTACCAGCTAAAATGTGTACTGAGCCATGCTAAAACTCAATGTAGCGGAAGTCAACTATGCAACAGAGTAGAGGAGTCTGGAGAAAGAATAGGCAATTTAGTTTGCACCTCTTATCGATTAGTATAGCCTCGATACAATCTTCTTCAGCTTGTTGGAAGCTATAAAACAAAAACTCCAGATCAGGAGAATAACAAAATATCTTCCGATCAGAATCAAAGATATGAAGAGAGTAATTACCGGCCAAGTTCCACGTAGGCTGCAGCTCTATTGCAGAAATACGTAGCATTTGCTCCATTCAATTTGATAGCTTCAGTAAAAAAAAACTTACTGCCTTATTCCATTATCGCCCCCTTGAATGCAGCATTAATTACATTTATCCACCAAAACTTTCTTTAAGATTAAGATCATTCCAGCTCCAACAGCATATCATAACTCACCCGGAAAAGAATTATTTGTTAGAACAAAAATGATAATTTTTTACCTTTTCCTTCATAAATACAGAACCTTCCAGACCTTTGGAGCCAGTCACTGGATGTAATATTTTTATCATGTTTAGATGATATGCTAGAATGATTTAACCAAAATCATATTAAAATAGGTATTTTCAAGCGTTACTAAATTATATTTCAAAATAAAAATCTGTTAATATTTAGATTTACTATTTGCTTAGCAAAATTTATTTTAATTTTTAATTTATTAAACGTGAAAAATTAAAATATATAAATACTTTTTATTTTAAATTTATATTTTTTGTCATCATCATATAAATTTTTTTCTACTTATTTTGGCCAATATATTAAATATTTTTTTTGTCATCAATATATTAAATATATTTGCATAAAATTAAGAATAATTTTTTAGAACTATTTTTTAACTATCAAAAAGTAAAAATTAAATAATATTTCATAAATTTGTAAATATAAAAGAAAAATGAAGGTATTAGGATTAGAAGTTTATAATTGAAATTGCGTAAAATGTTGGAAAAATTAGTGATAAGAAATTCTATAATTATCAGAAATAGAATTAAATAAAAATTTCCAAAAAATAAAATATTATTATATTTTCTATTTCGTTATTTAATGTTATATTTTAAGAAATTTAATTTATTGATGATGTACGATTTATTACCATATTTGTCAAAGCCATGTCATCATATTTACTAAGGCATATCATTTTTTTTTCTAGTGAAAATGAATGCAGTGATGATATATTAAACAAAATTCAAAAAAATAATTTCTCAAATAATGTCTAGGAGATTATTTTATTTATCTTAAATCTTCTAAGACTATTTATATCAAATCACTTCAAATCCTACATTCTGTACACCCTCAAAATGTATACAATTTATCATTTGAAATCATAAGATTTTTTGGGTAAGTTTTGACATGATTTTAGGTGATTTGAGAATTCGAGATTTTAGTTAAACCATCCTTATAACTTATCTGAAAATATGAGATAGAAGAATCCTAAAAATTGCAACTTAAATTGTTTCCAATAAGTTTGTAAAATATCAATTTCAGTAACACTTATGTTTGAACTAGGTGATTTTCCCGTGCTCATGCACGGACATAAATATTTAAAATAAATATATTATAATAATTGATTGATATTTACTTCAAATTTAAAATTAATTTATAATTTGTAGATATAATTTATATTATAATATTATATTAATTTAATTATATATAATTTTAGATATGTTATATTTCGTCAGTTTTATTATTTTTACGGTTGATTTAGTTATCATTGAGATATATTAGATTCTATCTATTTCTCTGAATTCAACTATAATCTTTTTTATTCTAAATATATTAATTTTTTGATTAATTGTCTTATTTGCATTTATGCTGATTGTTATCTTAGAAATATAAGTATATCCTGGTTCTAAATTACATACTTAAGTAACTAATAAATTTTTGCAAGCTAATGAACACATATCAATATTACAATATTTAGACTGATTAGATGATAAACTGAAATTTATTTTAAATAATTTTAAAAATAAGGATTCTGATTTGTTTAAGTATTTTGATTATGGTTATATTTCCACAAACATAAAAACAAAAAATTAAAAATCAAAAGAGTTATTAAGAAAACATATAATTTTAACTATTAAAATATAATATATCTACTTTGATAAATTATATAATGTTATGATATTTTAAGATAATTGTAGTTATTTGATGAAAAAATGTTTATTATTAAAATTCATTTTTAGTTTTGTTTTTAATATCTTTTAAAATATGCAGTGAAAATGGTATTGTTTTTGAGAAATTATAATATATAAGTAAATAGAATTTATATTTTTTCTGTAATTGTAAGATATTATAGTCAAAAATATACTAAAATAAAAATATATATATTTCAAGAATAGTAATTATATTTTTTGTCAATTAAACATATATCATTTTATGTTACTTAATTATTTTATGTAATAATCTAATAAAATAGATATATACAAAAAAAATACTTTTAAAGTCTATATATTTATTGTTGAAAATTATTTTTTAAAATAAAAATATCTCTTTTTCTAATATAAAGATTAATTGTGTGAAATTTTTTTATGGAATCACATTATATACAAATATTGTTTTTCATCTAAGAATATATAGTTATAAAGTATTTTATTACTTCAAAATTATATTTTATGTTATTTAAAATATATTTAAATTAAATATTACTATTTTGTGAAATTTCCATTTTTATGAAACCTTATTTATATATACTTATATTTTCGTTTTTAAAGAGTTTTGTAAACTTTATACATGTTTCCTTTTTATTTTATATTGTTATTTGGAAAAAAAATATTAAAAGGAAATAATTATATTTAAATGTATTCTTTAATTCATTAAGGGTATCATAGTAATCAACCAACGCGAGAGTTAACGTGAGCGCGACACATAAGAAAGTGACTTCTCAAATAATATTATAGAGATAAAAGTAAATATGTTATTTTAATACAAATCACTTCAAATTTTCAGTTGAATACTCTCCTAAGTTCTAAACATATTCCCACTTCCACCCTTTTAATATCAAACCATAAATTCTAACCAATAAACTCAAATCCAAATATAAAAAATGCATTTTTATTTTCTTTAATTAATGATATTTTAGAGAAAAATTATGTACTAATTTTGTTAAAAGAAATATATAATTACTGCTATTTGAAGGTATGATTTGAACTATTCTCATCTGACATCAACTTGGTAGAATCACATACTAACTCATCTCTAAGCCTTTATGATTCTTGTTTCTAGCAGATAATCTCAACATCACTAAAATAATTCGATTAAACTCTCCATACTCAATCTTGCGTTTTTTCATTAAGCTTGCCCTTTTTAAGCTTCTGCTCCATTCAGTTAAGTGTGGAATGATCTTTTCTATCCTTTAGTACCAGTTTCCTTAGAAAATCATCCTCATCTCTTGTCTAGGTAGACAGTCTTCTTAGTGGTGAGATAAAAGTACCTTTTGCGAACAGCAGACACGTCATCACATCCAACTTCAAGCACCACATCATTCCAACATGGTAAAGGAGCCCCACCCCCAAGCGTCCACAACTTCATGTCTTGTTCCATAGTCCACCATACTTTCTTCTTCTCTCCAACGTCGAGCCTTTTTTTGTGCTCCATAATGTTATAGTTTTCTTGATTGCGAGAAAAGAAAAGAGAAGACTTTGCAATATGAAGCAAATCAGTTTATATAATATTGAAATATGCACATACCGGACTGGACCAGAGTAATGGTTTGATTTAGTTTATTGGACCAATTTTTTGGGCTTTGTATTTTTTTCTTTCTGAAAATAATTTAAAAGAAAATACTCTTAAAAGAAACATATACTAACTCATCAGTAAAAGTAATTTATGACTAAATTCTTATGTTCACCCGGCCGGCCGCCCCATATTGTCAAGCTATAAAGTTTGAGCCAAATAGATAACTATTTACTATGTGTCAAAAAGAAAAGAAGCTGAGGATGTAACGTTCAGACATGAAAGTACAGTAAAACCTCTATAAATTAATAATGTTGGGATTTTGAAAATTTATTAATTTATAGAGATATTAATTTACGAAATTTTCCTTATTTAAATTTTATTTTTCCATTTTTATTGATAAAAAAAAAATATATTTGATTTTAGCATATGTACATTATTTGAATTTTAGAAATTTGACTTTTATATTATTTTATTATCTTATTTGGTGTATATTTTTATATTTCATAGAATTGTTACATGTTCTCAATATAATTTAACTAAATATAATCAAAATATATTGAATTGTTTAAAAAATAAAAGCATTTTTATAGTAAATATAAAATCCCTAACTAAATATTATCAAAATATATCGAAATGTTAAAAAAAAAATAAAGTATTTCTATAGTAAATATAAAACCAACAATATAATGTTAGATTGTACTTATATAAAATTATATATAGCTAAATTATTAATTTATGATATTTGTGGGACCATATATGTACATGACAGTTTTAAAAATATTATTATCTTATTATTTTATCGATTTATGTTATATTTTACACCGGCCCAAGTTGGGACCGGTGAAATTTATTAATTTATAGAGATTATTAATTTATCGAGTATTAATTTATAGAGGTTCTACTGTATAGAGTACCATGCACCTACACAAAACCAATATATTTACGTATGAGTGTTATGTAGTACCTAAACATTCTGATACTAAAATATTACATTTTTTTAATATAGATAACTTACCTAATAATAGCAAATAAATTTAAATATTCAAAATATAATATAGCTTCAAGATTTAAAGATTACTGAGTCAATTTAAATTTTTTAAAATACTCAAAATATTTAGGTTTTCTTGAAATATATGTTCGGGAAAGAAGTTATTTACATTCTTTACAAAAGAATAAATTAAATTAAATTAGACTCTTTAATAAATATAATATACATAAAGATCAATAAAGATCTATAGAGTCTTCACGTATGTATATACGTAAATATGTATTAAATATAAATTAATTATATTTAAAGAAAAATATTTATATTTATCAAAATATTTAAATATTGAACATAACCTCATTAATAATCACAGCAATCGTTTTAAAAATTTAGTTTATTCCAACAAAACTGATTTTGAATCTTTTACAACAAACGAGTTTAACATACAAGAATGATTATTTAGAGGAAATTACAAAATAACATCCCATCCATAATGAAAATAATATTATTTAAACTAATATAAATATTAAAAGAAAACATAATGGAAAAAAATATTTGTGCAGACTTACCCTAGTTTGTAATAAATTATGGTTGTATATCTCAGCCTGCTTAAACCTAGACGGCCCCAACCAGTATATACATGCGATTAATAATTGCATATGCTTATGGGAGCTGTAAACAAATTATGGACGTTAAAGCAAAGATAACGTGACATTGATGATTGATGTATAAGCTTCAGCTGATTCTTCGACTAGATGCTCTCTACAGAGTTGAGTAGTGAAAGACTCAGATTCTTCACGTACAATGCGGAAACATCAGGCGGTTTACAAATAATTAAATCTATGGACACGAAAAATGAAGCTATGTTCTCAGACCATGTATGTCATGCCGACCTGCATCAGATGCGGCTGAGGCACACTCAAATTTTGCAATCCCTCTTCTGCAGTTTTTCCTCAAGAACGCATAAGAGTAATTAATGACTAACTTCTTGATGAACCATGAAGCTTTTCTTGCTCTTAAATCACCATGTCCCAGTAGATATACCACCCCTGATGCTTTGGCTTGGTTTATTAAAGGAAACTCTCTCTCCAGGCTCTGCTTCGCTTCAGATACAGAGGAGTCAGACAACGCGTCGAAGGGATGGTGGTTTGTATGATCAGAGGAAGTATTCATTTCCATGATCGGTTTGTTTAACTCAATGTACTCTGAGAGAAGAGGATCCCCCATTGAATACATGCTTCCGTTAGGGCCAATCACAACTCTTGTACCTTCAAAATTTTCCTCTGAGTCTGAATCATGGTGCCCATCGCTCTCCAGGGAACGTTCTTTAGCCTCTCTCCGTATAAACTTCTCGAGGCTCTCGATCAGTAGCTTCTCAAATGCTTGGTGGTTCTCTTTTCTTGCATCCTTGTAACCATACCTTCATCAAATCAGCACAAACTGTGTTTACTTCTCAGTTCTAAAAGTAATACAAAATAAAGTCACCGACCTGGCAGTGGCAACGCAACGGAATAAGTGATAGCTTTTGGTGCAGACACGTCTGAAGAGGAACCTCTCACTCTGGGATACAACTGGTACCGGTACGTATTTTATGCAGACAAAAATTACCATATAAGAAGCATGATCAGTGTCACTAGAATTTTCGTTGTCATCATCACGCCAAGCTCAACCATCCCTGAGAAATTAAAACAAATAAACTCAATAAGGGGCACGTATATCGAATCACTGAAGCTAAACAGACAAAACAGCTATTACCATATGCATTTCAAATCTCACTGATACTTGAGATTGAGCAGACTATGACCAGGCAAACGGCAAGAAGGAACCAGTTTAGGACAGGTATATAGATCTGACCCATAAATTTCCGTGAAGTGTGAATAATTTTAAGATGGGGAAAACAGCCCAAAGCTGTTGACTGTTTAACACATGAAAATGTTGCAGTCGTCAGTGTGCGACTGGCAATCAAAGCTGCAACGTTGACTATAAATAGAACCGGCCAGAATGCAGCACCTACAGAACAGTATGATGATAGCTACTCAGCCTTTGCAGTGGTACTGTTAACTTTGGGTTTATTATGGGCTTCCAACTTAAAACCAATTGGTGATAAGTGGATTGGCCATAACCCTTTATATATTAGTTAATTACTTCTCCAACTACCGATGTGGGACTTAGTTTCATTCATTAACACTCCACATCACGCTCATGCGTGGACAACTGTGGGAACAACATCCACGGAGTGCCCAACATCGGGTGGGACTCTAATACACCCCCCTCACGCTCAGGATTGGACATCTGAAGCGTGAAGTTTGTGGGACTGGACATCCACGGGTGGGCCACAATCGAGAAATTGAAAACCTTTGCGCTCTGATACCATATTAGTGATGTGCATAAATCACACCCAAAAGCTAGCTCAAGAATGGAGGATTGCCCACACACATATATATTACTCCCATTCACTCATATTTCTCGATGTGGGACTCTAATAGGTACCAAAGTGGAGATTAATGACTGAAGGAAGAAAATGAAATTTACCTGGACTGATCGAACAGAAAAGTAGCAAAGGTCGGCAAACAAAGCCTCTGAGCCTGAGCGATAAACAAAGCATCACAAAATTAGGAAGAGCAGTGACCATAAAACGGCTCACTCGGTTTTGTTAAGCCTTAGCTACATGAGTAATCTAGTTCATTTTCTGATTCATCCATCAAAACTGAGAAAAGTACCTGTGGCACAGAGAATGCAACCTCCCAGGCGCATACCACGCATTTATAGAATTCCTCTTGAAGAAATAATAGATGTGGATAAGGTCAAATGCTCTGTAAACACTGCTATCGTATTTGACCAGGTTGTGAATGCCAATACCAGCAAGACAGCAGAACCATATAAGTAAGGAGAGACCTACAACTAGTCCCATCTTACTCGTCCCATACTTTTGTAGACTAAACAGGATCACCAGAAATGCAACTGAAATCATCACCTTTTGATCTTGAAAGGAGAAACAAGCTGAAAATCAATGACAAAGATAAAACAACAAGCATGAAGAGCTTTCAAAGTTAATTAGACTATAATCAACAGTACCTTGCTTAACTGCATCAACTCCCACCTTAAGTCCACCATCAGCTGACATTACTGCATTATGCATTATGTTTAGGATTGGGCCAGGAATCGGGAAGAAAAGACCGCAAGATTCGAAGAACGAAAGATATGCTCCGCAAAACCCCTCGCGAACAGTTTCGGTCTCAAGCGTAGTGGCTAGTTCGAGCTTGACGCTCCGATCAACGCTGCATTCTGTATATAAAGCCTCAAGATGAGCAGAGGTAGTCGTTGGAAGAGGGAAAGTGGATGATGCATCCATCTTTGCTTAAAGAAAAATGAAAATCGCACAAGCAAGAAGTTTCAAAGAGAAAGAAAAAAGATAGGATAGAAAGAAAGATCTTCAGTATTTATAAGACAATTCACCGACACCAAAAACAACTCTATCATTAACAAGGAGATAATGTTAGGTTTCTCCTCGGAAACAACACAAGTAGCCGTTAAAGACGTATGCGAACGGTCCATCGATGGGGAGAAGACACGTGTCGGGTTCCTGCCGCCGCAGAAACTAAACCGTTTCTTGTCGATTGAGTCCGAATAAGCTATCTTAATCTTTTAACAAAAGAAAAAGATTGGGGGACAATGTTGGACCCAATTTCGGTACCTAGCTAAGAAGGCCCAAGTCCATCTAAGATCATCACGAGCTCGACATCAACCGGACTCTACAAGGTCGAAACGATATCCCGGAGATCGCGGAAGCAGTTGGAAGAGGAGAAGGTTATAAAAAGGAGCTAGGATGGAGTGTAACAGACACAGAAAACCCTAGAGCTATTCACTAATCACATCGACCTCATTTCATAGATTTCTAATTCGCTTGTTTCTTCTACTTTTCGTTGTTGTTTTCGATCTTGTTCATCACCTTGTAAACGAATTCCATATTCAATAAAAGTTCAATTTTTTCAACCGAATTCCGATTGTATCGTTGTGTTTAAGAGCATCGTTGTCTACATCATTTATCTTCCCCTGATTAAACTCTCGATTACTACAAAATACTTAGTGTGGATTTTAGGATCTACACTCACTACTCAAACCATATATCGATTATCATCACTGTGTATCAAAATAATGCTTCTCGATTTCAAGTATAATTTAAACTTTGAGACTATACATCATTTAAAACAATAAAAGACGACAGCCGTTCTGCGCGTAGCGCGGACACACCACTAGTACACAATTATAAACACGGGAAAAAAAATTAGTTATGACTAACTTTCTTACAAAATAGTTGGTGTGATAACTGATAAGCTTTGTTACATATTATAACAGAAATATTTTACAAATTATCTTGTCACGCGTAGGGCACGTTAATTTGTTATTTGAATCTGAACAAAAATTAATGTCCGGAAAAGAAAATTCATATTACCAAGTTTTTCACCACTTTTTCTTCTATTTTTAACGTTTAAAACATGAGTAACATCGTATTGTTGAGTTAGCCAGAGAGATACAAACACAAATCAGATTGGAAGTATAAGAGCAGTTGCAAACTTGCAATGCTGATCCTTACAAAAAAATCCTTAGCAACAAATTATTTTTATAATATGTGGAGACCAAAAAATTAGGAATTTATGCTATAATTGTGTTTTGCAGTCCGTAAATAAAGACCATTTCGCTGCTAGGCTCGTCACTGTACACATGTCTCATCTTCGCATGGGAACCCGTGATTGGTCCCTTTTTTTTTTTTTTTTTAAACTGAAAAAAGATAAAATAATATAAAAGATTTACTTGGGTTATCGAGTCATGAGTAACATGGTTGTGCATGCCCTAAGTAGTGGTCTAAATGAATCAGAATCAAAAATATGATTTGCTATCAATCAGTTAAAGCTACTAGATAATAAGAAGTATAATGGTAATTAAAAAAAAAGTAAATAGTTTAGTGAAGACTAAACAAGCTTTGAAAATAAGGGACGGCAGTTCCCAAATAATAACGAGGCTCCCTAAAAAATTCACCATATGAATTTAATCTGAAATTGTAAAGAACGAGCTTGTCGTCGTCATCGCTGCAATCATAAAGCAATACCCTGTTGTCAAAAAGTGATGTGACCGGTGGCATTGAGTAAAGATATTTTTCTTCGATACAATTGAGAGTTGACCGGAGATTTATGGAATAAGTTTTGTCCCATGTCACATTGTCTTGATTTAACGACCATATAGTTTGTGTGTCTCCCTTATCCTCCGATAAGCATAGGCGCTCATTCAAGGTGCACATAGTGATCCGTTGATGAGGTGCATAGGCAACGGGTATTTTTGCCATTACCGCAAAAGTTTCAGTGTGGAGATGGAACGATAAGAGTTGTGTTTCTGTGACGGCGTCAATGAACCAATAGAGAAATCCATGTGCATACGCTGGGACTTTATTGTGTAGTATTGGATAAGGACAAGAAACAATCACATCATGTCTCCAAGTGTTGTTGTTGTCGAAAGAGAAAACCTCGCATGTATTAGTTTGCCCGTATAGGTTTAGGCAATGAGAGTTGTACAGCCAAACAATCTTGTACATCCCTGTGATGTTGTCTTTACCAAATCCCAAGAAAGGATGTGGAAAGAGGTTATTTGTAACCTCAGCAAGAGTTTGAAATCTCGCATTGGGGAGTTTACGGCGCCATCTAGTTGCGGGATTGATCACGTACATGAAGGTTTTTGAATATAGGCAAGTCAGACCATCACAACTCCGTGTTATTTTCACTCTCACGTGAAAATCCTTCTTTTTCTTTTTCAAAGGGACAGAGTAACGAAGATGGTTCTCTAAAGAAACTGACGTTGCTCCCAAACTCAATGACCCAAGAGAAGCTTTTCCACGGTCGTCAAGCACTGGATGACTTATCAGGATGCTCGGATCTCGTGATTTCTGCTGATGCATCAGATGTCTCTCCTGGAAGCAACGAGACTCTATTTCAGTTCTCCATAGTTTGGACACAGCTCTAAATCTCAATAGTGATTTCACCGGAAGTTTCTCAAGAATCTCTCCTACCACCACATCATGAGGTATATTTACTAACATATTCGGACTACTGATAGTCTCGTAAACGTCTCTCTTTCTTTTAAGCATGGTGATCGGTGACTCTCTCTTGGAAAACAAGCGTTGGTTTTCTTGGATTATTTTCTCTGAGTTTTTGTGTGTTTGTTTTACAATTTGGTTCGACAGGGAAGTGTATATATAGAGACAGATTCTCAAAATCTTATTCCTGATCCTTCTTAACTTATATCATACTAGGTGATTTTCCCATGCTCATGCACGGGTATAAATATTTTTAAAATATATATGATAATAATTGATTACTATTTAATTTTAAGTTTAAATTGATTTATAATTTGTATGCATCATTCATATTA